TATATATATATATATATATATATATATAATCACCAATAACTTATTAGTCATGAGGTATAGCAACAACAAAAACTGTAACATAAATTATAGCCATAATAATTGTGGGGAGGGGGTAATTGTTTATTTGCTCTCTGAGGGGAAATAACGCTCCCACACTTTGATAACCTCAGGTGCATTTTGTTATCAGCATCACGTTTATTCAGTCTGTAATGAGTCATTTTATCCATTTAACAGGTGGCAGGTAGTCACAGAGCTGTTTTGTATCATGGCTTGTACCTCACTGATCATGGAGCACAGAAAGCTGAGGACAGAGATGTCTCGGGAGCTTAGAAAGACAATTATTGAACAGCATGTCAGAGTTAAAGGCTGTAAGAAGCTATAACAGCCGAGCAGCTTGCTGTTCTTCTCACTGCAGCTGCACACATTATTCAGAAGTTTCAGGTCCACAGGACCTCCCTGGATGTGTCCACAAGAGGAAAACTGAGAACAAATTAAAAAGCCAGATAGTACAAAATGTAACCAAAGAGCCCAGAACAACTTCCAAGGAGATTATAGGTGAAGTTCAAGGTCAAAGGTCATCAGTGTCAGATTGCACCATCAGTCTGTTTGAGTCAAAGTGGACTTAATGAAAATCAGATGAATCATAAAATGTGAGATTAGAATTTGCATTAAATGCATATTGAGAAGATTGTGTTGACTTTTCATTTCATCATTCTCCCATTCTGAGCAAGCACAGAGGCAACAGTGGAAAGAAAAAAAACTCCCTTTTAACAGGAAGAAACCTCCAGCAGAACCAGGCTCAGGAGGCTCAGGAGAAGTGGCTTTGGCTGGTTTGAGAAGACAGGAAGGAGAATCAGACAAACGCAGAATGGCAGGTCCATGTGTACTTTCTATTGGAGGAAAAACAACCTCCAAGTCTAAGCCAATAACAGCATAACTAAGGGATAGCTCAGGAAATCCAAGCCAACCCTAACTATAGGATTTATCAATAACGAAAGTTTTAACCCCAGTCTTAAAACTGGATAATGTGTCAGCCTCACGGACAGAAACTGGAAGTTGGTTCCACAAGAGAGGAGCCTGATAACTGAAATATCTTCCTCCCATTCTACTTTTGGAAACTCTAGGAACCACAAGTAAACCTGCAGTCTGAGAGTGAAGAGCTGTGTTAGAAAAATATGAAACAATAAGATCTGTAATATAAGATGGAGCTAGGTTGTTCAGAGCTTTATAGGTTAGAAGTAAGACTTTGAATTCTATTCTGGACTTGACAGGGAGCCAGTGGAGAGAAGCTAAAACTGTAGAGGTATTATATCTCCTTTAAATTCCAGTTAAGACCCTGGCAGCAGCATTTTGGATCAACTGAATGGCTTTAAAGAAATTTTTGGACACCCAGATAATAAACGATTGCAATAGTCCAGTTTGGATGTGATAAATGCATGAACCAGTTTTTCTGTATAAATTTTGGACAAGAAAAATGTTGTTATGCTTTGGTGCAACAACAATGAAGGTCTTTCTAATACACAGTTAGAGGAAATCAGTCCTGGTAACTTTTTACATAAAGACTAATCTGAGACATTATCCCAGAAGCTATTCTGGGATAATGTCTCAGATTAGGATTTGGACTGATAAGACAAAACTGGAGATTTTTGGCAACAAGTCTCACCAGCTTCATGTTCACAGACTCAAAAAAGAAACATAGAAAAGAACACTGTACATTCAGTGAAATATGGAGGAGGCTTGAATCTGTGCAGGGTACATTGAAAGCTCAAGATTATCGACATTCTAAAGCCAAATGTGCAGCTTGGTCACTGTCACAGGTCATGGGTCCTCCAACATGATAATGACCTAAAATACAGCCAAAAACACCCAAGGATGGATCAGAACCAAACATTGAACTGTACTGAATGTCTTTCTGAGCCCTGATCTAAATGTTGTTGAACATCTGTGGAAGGAGCTGAAACATCTGGGGAAAAGACCATTTCAACCAGAGTCAGCTGAAACAGTTTTTTATGATGAATGGACAGGTTTAGAAGTCTGAGTTACAGAAATCCCTGGATTGTCTCACAACAAAATATTAAGAGTACCATTCTTTTTCTTAAGGTCAGTTTCATTAGATGTTTTAAAGTACATTAGTCCCTCGCCACTTTGCAGTTTGACTTTCGCGGATTCGCTCTTTCGCAGGTTTTCTTAGTAAGAGTGGACATGACACTATAGTTACATTTGGGCCCCAAAAATCCAACACAACCTGGCCCCAGCCCATAGCCATAATTTCTGAACCCCACCTGACTTGAGGAATTAATGAATTAACAGTAAATACGGCTCCGAACCTGACACCCCCCACCCCCACCCCACCCCCGCCATTTTTAATTAAGCTTTGACTGCTTATATAGTTATTAACGGGCAGCGGACACATGGCTGAATAAAAGGGGCAGAAAATCGGAGCTGAGGGGGTGTTTGTCCTTTCATGGTCATCAAAATACATTAAATCCCTGCTTCTGCCTGTATTCTGCATTATTCAGACATGGACCCTGCTCTGACATGTTGGATATTTTGGGATCTCGCCTGTTTGGGTCGTTGGCTGCGCGCATCTGCTGAGTGCAGTTGAATCTTTTTTTAAATTACACCACTTCCTTCTAAAGGAAAGAAAAAAGCTGTTTCATTTGTTTGAGTGTCTTTCTTTACTTTAACTGAACTTTTTTTTTACCTCTTTCAAGGCTGGTCAGTGTGTGGTCAAATGTCCGCGTGTGGCAGGTGATTGTATGACAAGCCATGTTGCCATATAATTGGATTATCAGCTGCGTGCGTCCACTGACTCAAACAAAAGCCCGACACCAGCCCGGCCCTAATCCGGGTTGGGCTGGGCCAGGCTCCGGGCTCCGGGCTCCGGGCTCCGGGCTCCGGGCTCCGGGCTCCGGGCTCCGGGCTCCGGGCTCCGGGCTCCGGGCTCCGGGTTTGGGTTAGAAATGACAGCTCTACAAGACACACAACTGGCTGATTGATGGATGAGTGACATGCATTGTTTATTTAAAATAAACTATTTAAAATGATTTAGCACCTGCTAAATCATTAGGTGCAGGGAGAAGCTCCGTCCTGCAGCCTGTCATGATGTCCGCTCTCTGCCACGCCCAAATTTTTCCTCCGTTCTGCATCAGCTTTGTGAAGGTTAACAATTTTCTGTATTTGGGTATCTTGTTCAACTTTCATCTCTCTTTTAAGCTCCATGTGGAAAACCTAGTAAAGAAACTGAAAGTTAAACTGGGTTTCTTTTTCAGAAACAGATCCTGACTAACTCTGAATGCTAGGAAACACCTTGTATCTGTAACTTTCCTTCCCTCCATTGATTACGGTGATATTATTTACATGAACGCTCCTACAAGAACCCTGCAGATGTTGGATGCTGTCTATCATGGTACACTAAAATTCATAACTGGCTGTGATTATCGTACCCACCACTGCACCCTGTATTCACTGGTTAACTGGACATCATTAACTTCATGCAGACTCTCTCACTGGTACATTTTCACCTTTAAATCACTTCTTGGTCTGCTGCCTTCATACATCTCCTCCTACATGTCTCTGCATGAGTGCAGCTTCAGCGTGCGCTCTCAGGACTTTATTACCTGCAGTGTCCCCTCAGTGAGGACTGAACTAGATAAAAGGGCCTTCTCCTACTCCGGTCCTGTTTCCTGGAATATCTTACAAAAATATCTGAAGCTCTCGACCTTGACCTCTCTAAGTGGCTTCAAACATCTGTTAAGTTCCTGGCAGAAACCAACGCAGACATGTTCCTGTTTTTAGTTTTCTACATTCTCCTTCTAATCTAGCTGTTTTTGTTACTTTTTTGCCATCTTATTTGTAAAAATAAAAAAAGTCTGTATGCCTTTTCATAACTGTCTATTGTTGTCGCTCTTGTCAATTGTTGTCATCATTCTTTGTTGAAATCAGGTCTCTCTTGTAAATGAGTCCTCGAGGCTCAATGGGATTGACCTGTCTAAATAAAGGTTGAATGAATGAAAAAAACCTTTGCTGTCCAGATGCACCGATTTACTTTTGTCTTCCAACTTAAAATTCAAAGTATGTCCCATTGTAAAATCGTCATAATCACAAAATATAAAAGTGTTAAAAGTTATTTTTAATTATCGTAGAACTTTTATATTCAGTTGTTTCAGTGTAATTAATCAAGAAGAACTTTTCTGCTCTGTGCTGCATCTGCTGCATGAGGGGTTAAACCCTTTGATGTCCTGCTGCGCTTCTCTACAATTTAAATTTAAGTACTGTAATATTTTAAATAAAGAATCCTGTATGTTT